AGAAGGTGTACTATAAACCAAAGGCTGAAACACACACAGACACAAGTTTCCATTAAAATATTCTGACTTCTCTTCCATCTTTCCAAATCGGATACTATCCGAAAGAGTGGCATTGCATGTCCACTGTCCATATAGCCAATGAAGTGACTCTAGAAATCTTCTCTCCATATTTGTCAGGCTAACTTACCTTGATAACACTTAAAACGCCTTCATTGGTTTTAGGATCTGTCACAATGGCAAAATTTCCCCTTTCGTTTCCTTTCTTTATGATATACTTGACTCTCCAAGCAGGCGTTTGAGGACTATCCTTATCTTCCACCTTGAGACGAAGGATATTATCTTGGGTTTTACCTTCCGGGACGTCCGCATGATACTTGGAAAACAAAGGAAGAATTCTCTGACAACTAAAATATAATTTCTGGCATTGTCTTGCAATAGCATGACCAAGAGACTCTGGGTTACGCGGGCAGGAGATACATGGATCTTCTCTAAAATGATCAGAAGCAAAAAAAGTAAGTTCCCTTCTATTCCAATAACGTTTACCCCTTTTCTTTTCTGACATGGAGAAATGTCAGCTTTCCTTTCTGAATGAAATGCATGCATCTTTCCAACTCAGGAAAACCACGTAGATGAGAATAATTTTACCACGGGCCTATCCCCAGTGAGAGAAATCAAAAGGACCTCTTTGCTCTAAACCAATGAGGGCTAACCTTTTTGTCCAGGCATGCCAAAATCGTGTCCCCCCATCCATAATGCAATGCGCCCCCCCCACCCTGCACATACGGGGATTACCCCCTCACACACACACACTGCCCCGTTCCATGCGCATGCACGTGATACCCCCCTGTGCTCCCCTGCATATGGACATGACCCCCTCCCATGCCCAATTTTGGGCCCAGCAGGCCTCCCTGAAGCTTCCTGGGACCAAAAATAGGCCATGGGGGGGGCACAGCTTTCCCCCGCAGCCTGTTTTGGGCCTAGCAGACCTCCCTGAAGCCTCTGGGACCAACACCCCCCCCCCCGGATCTCCAGCATGTGCAGCAGAGACCCAAAATCAGCTGGCTCGCGGGACGTGCGCACGTATGCCCTTTGGAGCTGAGCTGAGCAATTGGTCATGTGCCAGGAGAGAGGGCTAGGGCTCCATATGACACCTGTGGCACACGTGCCATAGGTTCGCCATCCCGGCTCTAAACCTTCACATTTGGACGAATAAGTTAATGAGGTCTCCGAAAGTTGTCACGGCAGAATTCTTATTCTGCTGAAGGAAGCAATAATGGGGTTAAATGTTTACGGAGATTCTCAGTCTCCATAGTCACAGTCATGGTTGTCCCAAAGATGCTTTTTTTTTTTCAAGAGGCCGCTGGACTTTCTGGTTTTTCTTTGAAGACGTTTCACTTCTCATCCAAGAAGCTTCTTCAGGTATTTTTTTCAAAAGGCAGCTGGACTTTTGAAGGCAGTTGCCTCTTGAAAAAAAGCACCCTCTTCAAATGAGGAGGCTTCTTGGATGAGAAACGAAATGCCTTCAAAGAAAAAGTAAGAAGTCCAGTGGCCTCTTTGAAAAAAGCACTTTTAGACTTTAAACCAGAGGTCTTTTTATTAGGAATCCTACCAGAAATCTGTAACAAAGACTTAAAATATCTGATTGTAAATGTGTTAACAGCAGCCAGAATCGTATTTGCAAAAAA